TTTAAGATTTTAAGACCACAAGTGCCAAGGTTACCCCTAGAAGCCAAAAATCTAGAATAAAAGATTCTGGGCTTGCATTTCATACAAATTCTCCAACAGTTATTATTTTTCCCTGAATATTTTATAGCTCTACTATTTTCCTAGTCATTCCTATACATTGACAGTTTGTTCAAAGGAAAAAAAAGTTTAACAAAAAAGCTACACGTATACACATACATCAGATACTGGGTTTTTTCATTTTCCTCTTCAGAGAACATGACTACTGCAGGAATAAGAAAGGGAGATTTAAAGGTTTGCCTAAATGTTACCTCTAATCTTAGTGGGAGAGTTCTGAGGCCTAAATATATTTCATGCTTATAGACTGAAGGGTACAAACATAATTTAGATAGTATTCTTCTCTTCCTCCTCATATAATATGTATCCTAATATTAGGGTTCCAGGATGCCTGGTATTTGTAAGTACTTTTAAAAGTCAAGTAGATAATATGAATTTCACTTTGTTTTTGACAGTTATAAAATGGATATGTAAGTTTGCTCAGCAAGGATTTTCAACTTAAACATATGTTAAAACTTCGTATCTTCCAAAATACTTTTCTTTTTGAAAGGCATATTTTAGGGGGAAAAAAACTTTCCATGTCTAAAAAATTCTTGAGTTCTACAAGAAAAACTATATAGCAAGTGTAGAAAAAGGTATTCTCCTTATCTAGTACTGGATAATTGCAGGTTATAATTATCAGTGGCAAGAAATGAGGGGGTGAATTGTTTTCTAAAATATTTTAAATACTTTAAAGTCCTTTAAAGTCAAGCAGGTTTCCCAATTTGGGATTTGTGGTTGATTGGTAGACCTCTTGAGGCCCTATAAAATGTTATAATCCATGCATATAACCAGGAATAGAAACCTTAGTTCTTCAGATTCTCAAAATGGAGTTTAGTCTTGGGAAATCAAAGCTAGCACATAGGTGAGGATTTAAGCTCCTGAATTTGTTGCTGTCTTTCTGCTTAATACACATTTCAGTAACATAAAAGATGAATTCCCATGCTATAACTCATTCCCATGCCGTAACTAAAGATTTTTAATAATTAGGCTCGGCACCCATAGCACAGTAGTTGGCCACATGCACTGAGGGTGGTGAGTTTGAACCCAGCCTGGGCCTGCTAAAACAACAATGAAAACTGCAACAACAACAAGAAAATAGCCGGGTGTTGTGGTGAGTGCCTGTAGTCCCAGCTACTTGGGAGGCTGAGGCAAAAGAATCACTTAAGCCCAAGAGTTGAGGCTGCTATGAGCTGTGACACCACAGCACTCTACAGCAGGTGACATAGTGAGACTTGGTCTCAAAAATAAATTAATTAATTAATTAAATGGAGGTAGATCCCCCTCTATGACAGTTGGGTACAATTTATTATATTTGTGTACCCTGAGAGTGAAATTACTGTCTCATTTTTGAAAACTTACTTAACCTTCATTAGGTATCTGAATGTCTCTTATGGCCATGAGAATGAGACAGACCTTGTCTCTGGCTGCAAGGAATTTGTAGTCTAGTTGGAGAAACAATCTATTGCACAGGGAGATAAATGTTTAGGTACTTAGAAATTTAGGACTCTATAGGAACACACTGCCAACACACACAACCCAGTCTGGCATTTAACCTAACAGGATTGGTAAAATATCCAGACCTTGATAACAGGTAGTCTCAAGTTTCAAGAAGAAGTATGCAATAAGAAAACTCTCTTCTCTGGGTGGTGCCTATATCTCAAGAAGTAGGGTGCTGGCCCCATATGTGGGGGGTGGCAGTTTCAAGTCCAGCCCCAGCCAAAAACTGCAAAAAAAAAAATGCCCAAAGAGTGGCTCGGTGCCTGTAGCTCAAGCAGCTAAGGCGCCAGCCACATACACTAGAGCTGGCGGGTTCAAATCCAGCCCAGGCCTCCCCAACAGTGACAACTACAGCCAAAAAATAGCCGGGCATTGTGGTGGGTGCCTATAGTCCCAGCTACTCAGGAGGCTGAGGCAAGAGAATCGCTTAAACCCAGTAACCCAGTTGGAGGTTACTGTGAGCTGTGATGCCACAGCACTCTACCCAGGGCGATAGCTTGAGGCTTGCTCTATCTCAAAAAAAAAAAAAGAAAAAAAGAAAACTCTCTTCCCTCTGGAAGATAGTTTAATGTTATCAAAATGATACATAACACTGTATGACCTGCAATTCTACTTCCCAAGTTTACACAGATATAATGGCATACATGCAAAATAACCTACACACAGTTATTTGCTGCAGCGTTAAGAGGAAATGATCAGCCGCAACTCCAATAACCATCAACAGATCACTACTTAAACTGGTATGCCCATAAATGGACTACTCTGTAAGTGACCTTTTACAAAAATGAAGAAGGTCTCTTAGTACTGATTGGTTAAACCCTCCTTCATATATTTTTATAAGAAAAACATACACTGCAGAGAAGTATATATTAGAAAGGAAGAAAATACGAACCCCTATTCCTATTTGCTCATTTATGCATAAAGAAATTCTGGAAGGATGAAGTAGGCCTGACAGAGGCTGAGAAGGGAAGGCAGAAGCAGAATTGGGGCAGAATCTATGAATATAAAAAAAATGTATAAAAATGGTATACTTGAAAAGTAATCCTTTCTAAGCCTGGGTTCTGTCAACCTGCCACCTCTTTTTAGTGTTGTTTTAATAAGCCTCTAAAATTCAGCAGTGATTATACTATTAGAGTATAAGACTGTTTCATTTTCCAAATCAGGTTCCGACTCTCTCTTTTCCTACTTATGTTCATCTGCCATCTTCTGAAGGGGGTTTCCCCGGAATACCTGAGAGGGAGTCAAGTTCATTGTCTCACCCTTCTTCTGTCTATTTGTTGAGGATATTTGGGAACTTTTTTAGAGCTCATGAAAGCAAGGATTTTATTTTGTTCACTGCCTCACTCCAACACTGAAAAAAGTGCCTAGCACACAGTTCAGTAACTATTTGTTGAATAAATGATTCTTTTCTTGATCCTGCTTCAATGGGGACAGATACTACCAGACAAAGGGAGAGATTTCAATGGTGTCAAATATTTAGAAATAGTTGTCATTCCTAGTATTAGCCCAGTATAGGCATTCTAATCTTAGCAACATTCCTGGAATTATTTTGGATTTCACAGAAAACAAATAATTCTATAGAATGCTGTGCTGAACAATGAATCTTAACTATTCATAAAAATGTATTTTTAATTAATTTGGGATTACATGGCCCTAGGGTCCATCTTAGGACAAAATATGTTTAGGCAAATACCACACTAAGCAGTCATGATGAAAAAGAATGGCTATCTTAAGAGTCAAATGAGCCCTAGGAGTAAGGTGCCCAGAGCAATGGTGAGAAAAGAGAATATCATTTACTCTAAATGCATTTAAAAATGCAACTGCTACTTTTATTATTAGAAGGCTCAGCGCTTATGCTCAGTGGTTAGTGCACCGGCCACATACACTGAGGCTGGGGGTTTGAACCCAGCCCATGCCTTCTAAACAAAAATGACACCTGCAACCAAGTAATAGCTGGGTGTTATGGCAGGTGCCTGAAGTCCCAGCTATTTGGGAAGTTGAGGCAAGAAAATCACTTAAGCCCAAGAGTTTGAGGTTGCTGTGAGCTGTGACACTACACCACTCTACTGAGGGCAACACAGTGAGACTGTCTCAAAAAAAAAATTATTCTTGAAATTAAATTCAAAGTAATCTCTATAAAGTGAATTAAACTGCACAATGTTAATCAAAACAGGCAAAACCTCTTCCTCGGTGGGCCTAACTACTATAGTTCTTTATCCTCAGTTCAGGCGTCCTCAAACTACAGCCCATGGGCCATAGGTGGCCTGCTGAGGACATTTATCTGGCCTGCCGGGTGTTTTTGCCGCCGCTGCCTGTCCTGCTTAGCAGCCGACTTGTCCCAGGGCCCGCAGTCCAGCCATCCAATGGTCTGAGGGACAGTGAACTGGCCCCCTGTTTAAAAAGTTTGAGGACCCCTGGTTTAGATAATTATGAAAACAGAGTAACTTTGGTAGTAATAATTTCAGTAATGTTGCTGAATAGGTACATGACTACGTGAAAAATTTTTGGAAGATTTTTAGTATAAAACATTTTTTAAGGTATGGTTGAGGCAGTTAACTGAGTAGTGTTCTCTTTGGGAAACACTGGAAAGAGGACTGGACATTTGAGTGTTACCTCTATTTCTCATATAAAACAGCAATATGGCCAGGGATGGTGGCTCATGCCTATAATCCCAGCACTTTGGGAGGACAAGATAGGAGGATCACTTGAGGCTAGGTCAAGACTAGCCTGGGCAACACAGTAAGATCTCATCTGTATAAAAATAAAAACTCAGCCAGGTGTGGTGAGATGCACGTGAAGTCCCAGCTATTAGGGAACCTGTGGCAGAAAGATCACTTGATCAACATCTATTCTTCTGAAAGAACTTGAAATTCAAGACTGTCTTGAGGATGAAACAATTCTCAGAGATAAGGCATTTATGAACTATCTTTTTTTCTTTTTTTGAGACGGAGTCTCACTCCTGCCCAAGCTAGAACATTTATGAAATATCTTAACTGGAGAAGTGAAGACAGCAGAGAAATTACAGAATAACTGGTAGACAGCCAACTTCAGGTGTTGCGAATTATACTTTTTTTTTTTTTTTAGACAGAATCTCAAGCTGTCACTCTGGGTAGAGTGCTGTGGCGTCACAGCTCACAGCAACCTCAGACTCTTGTGCTTAAGTGATTCTCTTGCCTCAGCCTCCCAAGCAGCTGGGACCACAGGTGCCCGCCACAATGCCCAGCTATTTTTTGGTTGTAGTTGTCGTTGTTTGGCGAGCCTGGGCTGGATTCAAACCCTCCAGCTCTGGTGTATGTGGCTGGCACCACAGCCACTGAGCTACAGGCACCAAGCCTGAATTATACTTCTAATCTAGCATAGGGAAGCACCAAGCCTACTGTTTCCAGATGGCAGCACGCGGATCCCACCTTGGTCCTTCCAGCAGTCAATACTCCCAGTGTTGTAGCAGATCCTTTCTGAGAAGAGTAGTAAAGGGCCAGAGGATGACAGCTCTAGGAAAAGAAAAAAGTCAAGAGGTCAAAGAAGGATGCTTTGTTTGTTGCTTTTGGGGGGGTGGAGATGAAATGAAGAGCTCCATGAGACTACCCCTCTAGAAAAATCACTAAGAAAACTCTGGTTTTAACAGGTATCGGCATTTCAAGAGGAGAAGAGCAACTCAGACATTCATTCAATTAATATTTAACACCTGCCAGATCCTGTCCAGAGAGGGAGCAGGGCAGGTAGGCAAATTCCCTTTCCTCATGCGCTCTCATTTTGATATGGGGACAGGTCAACAGATGACTATGACAAATGGACCCAGAGTGAGGCTGCTGTGGCTGATGTAGAGGAAGCAGTCAGGGAAACCTTTCCAAGGAGATGACATTTAAGTTAAGACTTACATAACAAGGAGGGGAAAGCCATGATAGAAAGAGTACACCGGGCAGAGGGAGCAGCTGGCTCAAAGGTCCTGAGGCAGGAATGAGCCAGGAAGTTTTAAAGAATGGAAAAGCATGAGCTATGAGTGGAGAAGTGAAGAGGAGGGCAGAGGTCGGTGGCAAAGGGTCTGAAGGCCAGAAGAGGGACTGATACATACAGGGAAAACCAAGCGCCATGGAAACTGAGGTCAATGTGCACCAAGCCCACATATCATACAGGGTAGCCATTAAAGTTACACTAAATTGCACTGGAACTTCATGGCCATCCTGTATGATTTCATTTATAGGAAATGTGTGGAACAGCCAAATCCATAAAGACATAAGATTAGTGGTTGCCAAGGGCTGGGGGAACAGAGTGAATACTAATGGGTATGGGGTTTCTTTTGGGGGTGATATGGACATTCTAATAGGTAGTGATGATGGCTGCACGATTCTATGAATATACTAAAAACAACTGATCTGTGTATTTTAAAAGGGCACATTTTATGGTATATGAATGATATCTTAGTAAAACTATTATTAAAATGGGGGTGGTGCCTGTGGCTCAAAGGAGTAGGGCACTGGCCTCATATGCCAGAGGTGGCAGGTTCAAACCCAGCCTAGGTCAAAAACTGCAAAAAAAA